AAAAACTATAGCCATTGGGTGTTGACCATTGCTACATGCCCTTAAAAATTAATGTAAAATATACACAAGGGAGAAAATGGGAAGTGGCTAATTGTACAGGTGTTCAGTATATATTTTATAAAGGTGGCCGGGAAAGCACGTTTGACTATTATTTACTGTGAAAACACCATGTCATTCATAATTCAGCTCTGTGACCGACTTGGTGCAGAAGAAACAACAAGGAAGACATGTACCGTAATTGAATTTTACAAAATTGACAATTTTCGAACTTTTACACTTACACAAAATACACTACAGTGGAACTCGGATTCGACGAAAACTCGGAATCAACGAAAGGAGTTGGATTCCGTGTTTTAAAAAAATTCATAATATCAATCAAAAAATAACTCGGATTCAATGAACACATAATGAGCAGACTCGGATTCAACAAAGTCGCTTAGAGGGTGAACAGCCCCCGCTGACGTGGCTTCGCTCATTTTTCTTCAGCAAAAAACTTTATCTATTCCTGGAAACCATCCAATGACACTTGAATTGTGAACCACCACTATTTGCTTAGCCTATATATTCTTATGCGACCAATCAGCAGCCTTCTTTAATACCAACACACACATTGTTAGCACGCACAAATGTTTTAGTGTGTGTCGAGGTTGGACAGGCGACCCGTACACACGTGACGGAGAGGAGGGGGCACTTGTAAGCGGTCCAGGCTAGGAACGTCAATAGAGAGATACAATTGCGTCACAGCCCCCCCCCCCCTTGTTAAATCAGAAATGCAAGAAAAGTAAGCATTTGTGGACAAATCCAGCTATACTTATTCATGGGTAGTTTCCCTTGCCACAAATACCCACGAACGGAGGTTTTGGCACCAATTTTCTCCTTGCCTCCTTAAACCACATCAGAAGAGCTTGGTCCACAGCATCTGCATCGGGTAGTCTCATCTTCTTTCGATCCAGAGCAAACTTCCCATTGGAGTATGCTTCCACTATTTTCTCTCTATCCTTTATAATGGTGTGAATCGACCCTTTTGGAAAGTCGAACTAACGACAAATCTCTGCCAGTCGAGCTTGCTTTTTTGTCAACAGCCTGGAATATTTCGTATTTTTTGTCAGTTGAAAGGCATTTTCTCTAGCGCTTGACAACATTACGCGCGCGTGTTGCTAGGTTTCGGGCTAGATCAAGGTCACCAGCACACCGCAGCCCTCTCTCGCTTCACACGCTGCGTGTGCTTGCAGTGGCATGGCTTGCGTGGGCTTGCTCCATCGCTGCGTTACTCTCTCTCTCTCTCTCCACATTGTTAACGAGCCTTTGTCCCTGCTATAACCGGTTAGGCTCCGATGAGGCCCTGTTATTGACGATAACTTTTAATAGAGACAAAGAGTAGGAAAAAAACGGGGATTTAAAAAATCCCTGTTATCTATTACCGGATCCCTGTTATTACTGGGCCTGTTATATATGGTTTCCACTGTACTTGCTCAGTGCCTCTAATTATCTGCCTAAAAATCTTATGTTTGCTATAACAAACACTTGAATTCAACTACATTGAAGATAAAGGCCCAAAGGCATTGTTGAATCCGAGTTCCACTGTGCATTCAAATTATTCTCATTTTATAAAACAAGTTTAATTAATAAGTAGGCCTAAAGTCTAAAGTAGAATCTTAGTCTTAACACCTGGAAGCACGACGGCCCTATATATATATATATAGGGCATGAGCCGGGCTACCTGGGAAGAGCAACGGTCCTATATAATGTATACACAGAGTCGATCTACTTCAACCAGGAAGTGCGTAGGAATATAAAGGACATAGACCCTGACCTTTCTTAATAGTAAATTTCAATGTTCCTTATTAAAAGGATAATAAGGTAAATGACATAGTAAATTGCAGGTCAAAGTTATTAACAGTAACCCAGGAGTTTGTAAGTTATTTTGAATTTGTAACACGTTCTCTGGCTCAGATATCAAATCACAAAGTGACGCCGTCCAGCTGAATGACTACACACTATGTATTATCACTTGTTCCGCCATACTTATTTATTAATTTGTTGACTGCATTGCATTTTGCACTTTGTTTGTCATTGATTTTGATTGCTTTTATCATTTTTGAAAGGCTCATGATGAATTCTATCAGCTTTGAGAAAAGATATTTGGTGTGTCTGTCTTTTATCATTTGTTCACCCTCAAATGATCATTTTTCTGTTGGTATAAATCTTTGAAAACAGCTGATATAATCCCCCAGCCAAACCCCCATGTTTACCACCAATCACATCAGCCATGGTGGCAGGGCACTTGGGGTTGGTTACTTCCGGCGACATGCTGCTCACCTCCAGGGTTCATATCTCTAGTCTAAATCTAGTCCTACAAATTAGAAATTATAAAGGAATAATACTAATACAAACAAACAATCTAATCAATCTTTACTCGAACCATCAAATTTAATTTCATTTGGAATCACTGAACCACTGGGTGATGATGCTAGGCGCGTTCTGTCAATTTGTGCGATCGGTCAATCGCTCAACGCATTTTGTGGATCCATGAAATGCACAACAGTCTATCAATTGTTGCACATGCGACTAAACGTAGAACGACGCAAACTACTTTTTAGGTAAGGCGGCCATCTCCTGTGAAGTCAGACCCGGACCCATCCGATCACGTGTCTACATCTAAATATACCCAACCACATGGCACCAAAGATTCTCTACAACACGATCTCAGATTAAGTTAGATGGCACGAAGCTTTGGTGTGATGTTTTTCTAGGAATACTGGTAAAGTGATGAGATGATGCGGTGTTCCGATGCTGCTGCTGCCGCCTATCTCTTCCGCGCATTGTAAATCGGGGGATGGGGGGTGTAATCTTCTGGTGCAATTTTCGCACACTTTATTGTCTTTGTGTTTACCGTGTTTTAATTTCAAGCATCAGCGTTCTTATTGTTCTGAGCATCAACGATCTAATCTTCCATCATGTCCAAGAACCGGAATTCCGAAAAGTTATTGACATACTGGAAACCTTGTAACCAATCAGAGCATGGCAGATGGGCTGCAGATAGCCACAGGGGTGAAATTTCAACGCGTGAAACACATCGATACGGATAATACGTCAAGCCACTGATCCAACATGTTGTTCCATGCGGTATCTCCACCAAAGATCGCAGTAGAGAATCTTTGTCTCCACGGCCTTCTAAAAATAGTCTTTGGGTATCCCAGGATGTGATGACATCACATTACTAAAATAAGCAGCCAATCAGGCAGGTGCCTAGTTCTACGTTTAGCCGCATGTGATTGTTAAAGCATTCTGTATTAGACTGGTGGATCACGCAGCGCTTTTTCTTGATCCGTTGAATATGGAACGGATCTTAGACCCTGGCCCTGAGCCTTAACCCTGGTGGTGTAATGTCAACAATATTAGGTGCTTTTTCGGTAGTTCCCACCCCCCCTCAATTTGAGCCTAGATCTACATCTAGATCTATACGTTTGATGCGCGGCAGCTAAGATATAATATCAAACGTAACAACTGCAAAACATCAAATTATGGTTTAATGCAGGGGGTGAGCCCTGAAACCCCCCACAGTTAGCCCCCCTGAAATCCCACTACTCTTGGGGCCAAAACCGGCGAATAACAATTGCGGGGTGGGAACTACTGAAAAAGCGCCCAATATTAATGATATAATGGACATTCATCGGGTACCACTAGATTGTAAGGTGAAGATCGACAAATGAGGGAGTTAAAATTGACGAGATGAATGAATATAATATCTAGACAATCTAGATCTACAGAAAGTCTGAGAAAGCGCAACAAAATTAACGAGATGAATATATAATATCTAGACAATCTAGATCTAGATTCTAGATCTACAGAAAGCGCAACAATCATACGATCCACCGATAACGCAAAGTGACAGAAAGCGCCTAACGAACACTACTTAAATACTTAAACACTAACACAATAATTTAATATAGACTCTATATAGACTAGATCTAGATTCTATATTATATGGAAACCTGCATAGCTGCTAAGCCTAACTAGATCTAGCTACTGATACTATTCATTGGAAGGACTTCCGTAACGAGCGACCACCCCATCAATCAAACACAATAAATATAAAGAAGAGGCCTAGACCTAACCGTAACCCTACCCCTCAATTCTGCTCTGTCTCATAGTGGTTGCTCGTTATGGAAGTCCTCCCCTATTCATTATAATACAAGACAAGTTCTAAAGACTAAAGAGTCTAGCGTAGATCTATAATCTAGATCTAGAACAGGCTAGTAGTAGTCAGTACTACTACGTGACGTATGGCTGGTACTACTACTGAAGTAGTAGTGCAACTGCTGTACTCTTGTTCGAGACTTGTATCATTATAAATTATCATCATTCGCGAAATAGCATCATGTTGGCTTAATCGTATCAAGGCTAAGGCTAAACTGCAAAGCCAGCCTTAAACTTAAACATAAATATATTATAAGAGCAGCGGTTGAGCCAGTTGAGGTAACAATAACAACACTAGATCTCTAAGTCTAAGATTAGATCTAGAAATCTAGATCTAGAGTCTAGTAGTAGATATCGATTCTTTGATAACGTACTTTTTATTTTGACTTTCAAAGACATTGGAATATCTACTGCTGTTTCCGTTTGTTCTTAGAGCCTTGGTGTTTATCGACAGAGAAACTCATTGATCTTTCCACTTCCCACTTCCCAGACCGATGTTTTGAGTTTTGATTTTTGATCCAGAGAGCACTAAGACATTTCAATTTTTTTTTGGAAGAAGAACTCTTCTAGTAAAAGTAGGAGTAGCTTCCAGAGACATTCAGAACAGAACAATATAAAACTTTAAATAAAAATATAATGGTAATGGTCAGTAGGCCTGCTTGTTCAATTAGAAACTACTAGATCTATATATTATTCTTTAATGTAATTTGATATGAAAACTCTTTTTTGCTATTTAATTATTATTTTGGTTGCCTTTTTCTGAAAAGATTTTCGTTTGGTTCGTTAACTGATTGGCGGAAGAATTATTTTATGGAACAACATGGCAGCCTCCGATGTCTGAAATCCCTGCTTGTTTAAACCTCAAAGTAAGTGTCAAGTCGAAAAGTGGTTACCGTTTAACACGATTTGAGGAGTCTCAAATGACGAATAAAGACGTTTTTGTTGGAGGAATTCTGTAACCTGCGACCACTATGAAAAAGAGTAGAGAATAGAGGGTTATGGCGTTATGGTTATGTTGTTAGGGTTACTGGGTTGAGGCAGGCAACGGCAAGGGTTAGCGTTTGAGTTTGGGTTACAACTTACATTATTAATACAAGCAAATAATGTAGATGTAGAGACATCGGCCCTGGGCGCGACCGTGCCCTGAGGGCGACCTGTTCCCCATTTTTCCTTTTGTGCAGCTCGTGTGCTGTCTGTTTTATTAGAGTTACGTGCCTTGTCTAGTTCCACTTTTGGTCAATCCTTTTCCGAGAACGTCAGTCGTCTGCTAACTACTAGGCTAGTGCAGCAGTCGAGTTTGAAGTGAAAGGCTTATCGGAAACATTCTTAGAGATGTTTTCTTCAGTTACTGAACTTGAGTAGCTGGCCCAACCCGCGACCACTTGTCTCTTTACCCTCTGTTTATAATAAGATATATTGTTTTCATCCTAATTTGCTAAAGAAATTATTATACAGTACAGAAGAACCTGACTTACTCTTGCCTGCGTCTGTGCCGAGATGCGAATCTTATCAGCAACCGATTACGTCAGACGTGCTGGGCAGGCCACCGGCAAACGTGTGTTTTCGCCATGAATACCGCGGGAGTGTGTTAACCCTTATCCTGTGGGAGCCGGGTTTATGTAGCCCGATAAGCCTATTTCGGCACCTCGCCTGCGTTCTGGTCCCGAATCGGTGTAGCCCCTGGCTCAGGGCACGCTCAGCACGCATCCTCTTACGTGTCATTCGGGTCCCGAGTCGGATCCCCGTTCACGCAGGTCAAGTGTGTGTGCGTCAGTCTGCTTGAGTTTGTGTGCGTTTGAGGCCTTCTTGTAGAACAGCCTGCGTTGGTTCGTAATCGAGGCATACGTCTCATTCAAAACATGCCAAGTTGGTAGCTCTAGATGTTCGTCCAATGAAATTATAGAAGAAATTGACCCACTTAGACATGAGGAGAGCTCGAAAGGATAGTCAGGAAACAAAGACTTCCATTTTTCTATACAAAATATTTCAAATGAGCTTGATTTTGTATGAAATGATACTGCCTGATAAAAAAATAAAAGCTTGTTTGATAGTTTTGAATACCATTGTGCAGGTACAAAGAACAATCTGTGAGTAAAACATTCGGAAATTGACCTAAATTATCCCCTTTCGAACCTCAGGTCATTCATAACAACAAGAGCGTCAAGAAAGGTTATTCGAATGGGCGTAACTACTCGTAATGTCTTATCAGCTTGTGAGAGGGGGTTATTCATGTGTTTGTAACACTTTATAAATAAAAAACTATGAAAGATCATCGGTTGACACACTCCCACGGTATTCATGGCGAAAACACACCTTTCCCGGCACGCGCGCTGTACACCAACAGTACACATTGAGTGACCCCGGCGGCCTGCCCGGCACGTCCGACGTAAGCGGTTGCTAATAAGATACGCATCTGGGCACAGACGTAGGATAAGAGTTAACTGATGATGAAAATAGCGCTCTATCTTTCATAGCTTTCTATTTATAAAGTGTGACAAACACATGAATAACCCCCTCTCACAAACTGATAAGACATTACGAGTAGTTACGCCCATTCGAATATAACTTTTCTGGACGCTCTTGTTGTTATGAATGACCTGAGGTTCGAAAGGGGATAATATAGGTCAATTTCCGAATGTTTTATTACTCTCAAATTGTTCTTTGTGCCTGCACAATGGTATTCAAAACTATCAAACAAGCTTGTTTTTTATCAGGTAGTATCATTTCATACAAAATCAAGCTCATTTGAAAGATTTTGTATAGAAAAAATGGAAGTCTTGTTTCCTGACTATCCTTTCAAGCTCTTCATGGCTAAGTGGGTCAATTCCTTCTATAATTTCATTGGACGAACATCTAGAGCTACCAACTTGGCATGTTTTGAATGAGACGTATGCCTCGATTACTAACCAATGCAGGCGGTTCTAGAAGAAGGCCACAAACTCAAGCAGACTGATGCACACACACTTGAACCTGCGTGAACGGGGATCCGACTCGGGACCCGAATGACACGTAAGATGATGCGCGTGCGCTGAGCCAGGGGCTACACTGATTCGGGATCAGAACGCAGGCGAGGTGCCGAAATAGGCTTATCGGGCTACATAAACCCGGCTCCGGCAGGATGAGGGTTAACGGAAACCTGTATAAAACGAAAACCTGTCTTAACGGAATCTCCCCGCTCCCCCCTTGATAAATTCCTCTTTAATTACCTCTGTATAAAACAGAAACCTGTCCAACGCGGAAACGGAAACAAAAATCTGCCCCCTTCCGAGGGTTTCACCTGTTTAAGACGGAAAATGCTTTGCCCACTCAGCCCTGATTTGAAACAAAACTCGCAAGTTTGATTCCACCGGCTTTAAACTTAGCGCCATGGCCATGCCGCTGGGCAAGGAAAGGGAGTAGGGGTGCAATTTGGGGGTAGATGTTACCCCATCGTGTGAGCCCTGAGCGATGCAGATGGTCAGGGTAGTGTGGGTGTGAAATCTCACGACTGCCCGTGAGAGTGCTCGAGTAGCGAGCCACAATGGAAACTTTCCTTGGTAGCCAGAAGCCAGAAATGTGAAATTAGATTGACCAATGCCTGCCACCCTGATCGTACGGCCAGTCGAGGAAAGAGTTCCTCGAATCGTTTGTTGCAATGATGGCAGTGAGGGGTGGCATTGGTGGGTGAGGCTAAGGGTGGAAGCAAAGGAGATGTTCAAACGTTTCTGTTTTTAATTGGTCAAGCTGTGGTCCTATGAAAGGCAAGCACTGGTGGTAATTTAATTTGATAAGTAAGACTGACGCATGTCATCAGAGGAGATAGCGTCTGAGAGGTGTGAAGTTTTGACTGCTTGCTGACCGGACAAGCGATCCTTGATCCCACCGGCTGGGTCTTTGTTGACCCCCCTCCCCCCCCCCCAACCTCCATCTCCCCCTAAATTCCCCTGTCTAAGACGGAATTTTTTTCTGGTTCCCTTGCGATTCCGTCTTACACAGGTATGACTGTACCTTTAAATAGTGCACTAACAACTTTCTTGCTACTGTTATAGTTATTGTCTGTGCGTGCATGGTCGTGCCCCATTCCGTATGCGGTCGAGCTGACGGCATGCGGTTGTGCCAAGGGCAGAACATTAACATGTTAAAAAGCGAAATCTGCGAATGATGTTTTGGAATAAATGACGATATCACGGTATAAACCGGAAGTTGACACACTGAAGCGGCCCTGAACATGGATTGCCTGACCTATTTTGACTACAGAGACTGCTGAGAAGCAAAATACGACAAGTGGTCGCGGGTTGGGCCAGATACTCTAGATCTAGTCGGAAAAGCTAGAGAACGACAACTAAATGCCATTGGCCGATACTTATAGTAGCAGCCATATTGTTTGACGTCTATGAGTGATTCCCATTTGTCAGTCATGGTGGCAACACGATTGCATGGCGGCATCCTGCCGACTCGGACTATTTTCTTTGCAACTTGCAGGACTGTTTGGTTCGGTTGTTTGTGATTGTGCAGCACCCTTACTTGTGGCTAACTGCATCCCGTCAGCCATGCTCTGATTGGTTACAAGGTTTCATAAATACATAGTTTTACATGCATATACATAAATTCTACTCACATGTCACATGCATACACATCTACTAGCAATATTCTTCTGTCAATTATTATGCTAATCTATCATTTTCAAAATTTCAATTTTTTCTGCTGCTGTATTCTCACCCTGAGTGAAATTTAAAATATAAGACGCTCTTTGGAAATTGCCTTCCCGTTCCGTTGGCAGCCCATTTTCAAGCGATCTGAATTACCTCGATTTCACCGAAACCACACGCTCAGAAGTCAGGGAGTCAGCATACGTGCCGTGTTTACGCTTCCTAACGTTTGCAGGAGCACTATAAATACACAAGCACACACCCACACACACACCCACACACCCACACACACACACACACACACACACACACACACACGCATGCACATACAAATGCACACATACACACACATACACATATGAAGCAATGTGGCAGTGAGGTAATGGTTCTATAAATAATCTCCCAGCTACACACCAGCAAGTCAAATGTTTGAACTGGTTTGAGGTCCAAAGTGCTTTTATCTTGTCACCCAAGCTCACAACAAACCTCACAGATCTCCAAAATAAATCAAAATAAAATATTTATAGTCGATTGTAGTTGTTTATTTTGATTGTAAATGAAGCAGAAGACATCAAACTTTCAATAGATCCAAAAAACAAAAAATTCATGGAAAGTCACTTTTTAGCCTTTCGAGCCTCGTAGCCCCAAATAGCACATTGCATCTTATGACTGGTTATGACCAGGGCGGACAGATATATGTTATAATATGATTAAACAACGACAGCAAACAAAAAGAAATCTTACAATAAAACTGAACAGAGCTTCAAACTCTATGAAAACCTAGAGGCTTTGCGAGGTTTGGCCAGCTGAGAATATGTCCAATCCATTGCCACCGCCTTCTTCCCACTTCATCTCCAACTGGGCTCTGTCTTATATCCTCCTTAACACTTTCTCAATGATGACCCTGCATATATCCATCAGATCCTGCATAATTTTTTCCTACTTGTACAAGAAAACCTGGATCCTGTTTATGCAAATATGAGATGTGTTCCATGTTTCACATCCATAAGATTGACTTCTCATTAGAGTTGAAAATCATCACCTTTGTTTGGAGCGAGATATCCCTGGTCCTCTAAATCCTATTGAAAGATATAAAAGCAGCCTGTGCTTTTCTGATGCGAGACTTAATTTCTACTCTCTTCCTCCCTCTCTGTTGATTGTACTCCCATGATAGCAGAAGGATTCAGTCTTCTAATGTCTTCTACTGTAACTTGCTTTTTTTTTTGTGGCGCATCTGTCCATAGGACCTTTGACTCTCAATCCACTGTTTGCAATAAGTCAGAGGTAATTTAAAGGTATTAAAATTGTTTGCTCTTTTTTCTTTCAGGTTAAGCAAAATGCCAACAGTGATTGCATTCGATGTCTCCTTGTCTATGGTCCGGCCAGTTGTCCTTCCAGATGTTTCAGAGGAGTATCAGCGACGTCACTTAGCTATTCATGGCATCAACACGTTTCTGGACTATTTAAGCGGCAACTATAAACTAGAATTTGTGTCCCTCGTAAGTAATCGCCTTTGACAAGATGTGAAGTAATTACAACTGAACCTGTTCAAGTTCAAGACGGAATCACGAGGGAGCCAGAAAAAAATTTAGGCTGAGACTTTTTCTGTCTTTTAGGCCGGGGGAAGGGGGTTGGGTTGGGAGTTGTGGTAAGAGGGCAAGCTCGTATATGATGTAAACAAGTGTCACCTGCCCAGTTGGCAAAAAGTAGTAAAAACTTTATACCTCTCAAGTGTTATTCTTGCTTTTCTGATAATGGCATGCAATTGCCTTACTAAATCCATTGCCACCAGAGCTTGCATTTTATAGGACCACTGTTTGACCAATGAAAAACGGAAACAATTGAACATCTCCTTTGTTTCCTCTCTTTGCACAACCCACCATTGATGTAATGAGTACAATCAACCAATGCCATCCCTTCCATGTTTGTAACACCAATTTGAGGAACTTTTACTCTGCTGGCCATACAATCAGGGCAGCAGGCAGTGGTCAAATTAATTTCAGGGCAGCAGGCAGTGGTCAAATTAATTTCACCCCTCTGGCTACTCAGAGAGTTTCCTTGCTGGAGTGCCTCACAAGCATTTTCACAAGTAATTGTGAGATTTCACACCATCCTGACAGCTCATGGATGACATTGATGTGGTTACAGTTACCCACAAGCCACACCCCTTGCCTAGTGGCATGGCATAAAGGTTAGAGTCAATGGAACCAACTTGGGAGTTAAGTTTCAATCAGGAGAGCCGGTAATACAACAATCTGTCTTAGACAGATCAAACCCTCTGAAAGGAAGTAATTTTTTTTCTTTTTTCGGGTTGAACAGGGTTCTGTTTTACTGAGGTAATTATAGAAAAATTTATCCAAAGGGGAGCAGGGTGATTCTGTTATAAGATTTCTGAGATAGGTTTCCTTAAAGACAGGTTCGACTGTGTTTAAATAGAATCTTTAACTTTCTCATTTTGTATTTGAATCATTCCATGAACTTTTAAAAGTGCTTTTGCACATATACATGAAATCAACTGAATTTTACGATTAAAATAAAGTGAAGATGGACATCAATGAATATCTTTGAAAGTTATAGAATCTCGTTGTCAATTGTTTAACATAGACCATATGTTTTTTACTCTATTTCCTCACTAATTATTTTTTTACAGATTACTTTTTCATACCTCTGGGAGCACCTTGTTGCATTTACCAGAGATTTTGATTCAATCAAAGCAGCTTTGAATAAGGTGGAAGTCTTCAGCAAAACATGCATAGAAACTGCTCTGAATGGTGTGAAAACTATAATATCAGATGAATGGAACAACACCATGTGCCAGGTAAATATAGAACTTGTTTCAAGAATGCTAGACCAATTTTGTTAGACTGCTACTCAGACAGACAATGGTTAGGTGTATATTTTGCTTGTAAAATTGGTGGCAGGTAATACTAAGTTTATTTTTTATTGTGTACCTTCTTTTCATCTATATCTTTATTTTTGCTGCCACTTAAAAGCCTGCTTAGAAGCTGGGAGGACTTACATGTGGGAGTGTAAATCATAACTGTTTTCGTCTTCTTCTTCTTCTTCTATCCAGTGGTTGGGGCAACCGTTGGGGCACCACTGCATTGGAAAACCAGCTCTCGCCATCTATTTTTGTCCTCTGCTCTCCTCAGATTGTCACCCATCATCTTTCCTGTCCACTCTTTAATGTTGTCCTCCCATCTCCTTCTCTGCCTTCCTCTCTTTCTCTTTCCTTGTACGATTCCTTGCAGGATTGTTTTGGCAAGTCCTGTGGATCTTGTGACATGCCCATACCATTTTAGTTTTCGTCTTTTCACTGTGGCCAGTAGATCTTCATATTGTCCCACTGCGTTGGTGATTCTCTTTCGTACTTCGGCATTTGAAATGTGGTCTTTGTACGAGATGTCAAGGAGTCATAACTGTTTATGAAACCCAAAAGTCTATATCAATTGGTCATGAATAAGCAATTGTTTAGTTTGGTTTTAGTAAGGTTTTACAGGGCTCACAACTTCATAAGGTCATATGAGCGCCAAGGGGTGGATGTCAACGGAGAAGTCCAAACGGGAAATCAGGCTCACCCCTCTAGCCTCAACAGTGCAAAGTCTGCTTCGACTATCAAAGCACCCCGGAAATAGCAGTTCACAAGAGAGTCACAAACATACTAAAGAAGTAGAGAAAAATGACGATAGGATGAGGAAAAAAAAGCAGATGTTTCCCCTATGTTGTTCTGGCACAGTATGAGCATGACATTGATAAATCGGCCCATTTACAATTCTACTGTACCGGTCACATGTTAATATCCCCCCTTTGGGAATGGCCTAAAGACACTTCAGTCAGTAGCGCTGCCCTGGGGGGGGGGGGGGGGGGGGGGGGGTTTAGCAATTGTGAAATTTAAAAAAATAAAAAAATCCAGTGGAAAGGATATATATTATATGTGTGAGGCTTAAAAAATGATGTACAAATTGTGTCCTTACATTCTAAATGCAAGAAGTTTAATATCTATTATATTTTAATAGGGCTCAATTAGTGCATTTCTTTATTTTATCAAACAGGTCATATTGGTTACAGATGGGAGTCTTGGCATTGGAGCTGGTTCCCTAAAGAAATCCCTTCAAACAGCAGGAAACAGATCATCTACAGAGGAAAAGTTTCCTTTGCCATTTCCTTTTCCATGTAAACTTCATGTTGTGTGCATAGGGAACCCAAGCAATCCAGATGTTCGCCACTCTCTCTTTTACTATCAGAAGCTGATAGATATTGGAGGCCAAGGCGGAGAGCTGTTCACACTAGATGGACCTATCACCTTCAAGTAAGAAAATGAGGTCACATGATACATATATATCTCTTCATTTGAAGTAAGCATGTGATCATTAGATTCACCAAATTTTGACTCAAAGAAACATTAGACTCTCCTAAGGAATAGAAAATAACTTTACAAAAATATTTTGCATAAACAAAATGCCTCGTGTTCTCCAAATTCACAAATAGGCGACTTTAGCTGCATCAAAATAGCCTGTGTTTGTTCTTTTTTTTGGTATAACTAATGAATCAGAAGCCTTTTCTCAAAAATATTGATGTTCCTGAACCGTGTATGGAACCTGGAGAAGAGAATGATGTAAAAACACAATGGAAAGACATAGAATAATATCAAGAGGCTAGCCCAGGGTAGGGAAAAGTGGAAAGTGTTTGTCCATGGCCTGATCCAGGAAGAGAAAGACAATGATGAGGACGTATGTTCCACCAGATGCACTCAATACTCAGGAACATTTCAATGTCATAGCAGAGTGGTTGGGTGCAAACTTTCAATCATGGGGGGCATTTAGGAGAAGTGAGTTGTGGTGTGCCTTTTACTTTTATTGTGCAATAATAATTTTTCATACCTGGAGCCCTGATGTTATATTTTGCTTTTTTTTGTCCTCTTGCAAAACTTCTGATTTCAGCCAGTCAAGTACACTATACCAGAACTCATAGTACCAGTGAGCTAGACCTAGTCACAGGCATAACAGTATAGAACAAGTTGGAGGTGAAAACAAAGGAGGGGGTGGAAAACTTGACAGTCTCCTCCCCCCCTCTCTATCTCTCTCCCACCTGCCCTTACCCTTTCTCTTTTTCTCCTTCTCCCTCACTCTCCATGCCCCTCTGTCTCTCTCCTCCCTCCCTCCCCCTGCATGCCCCTCTTTCCCTCTGTCTTTCCCTCCCTCCTGCATGTCTTTGAATGCAGTGGAAGAGATAATGTTGACATCTTAGTTGGCTGGTCAAGAGTAGGAGCAGAACATTGCAAGTGAATTATCCAAATAGACACAAGCGCCACTGATGATTTTGATCAGATTATTGATTTAGTAGGCCCACGCTATGCATTTTGCAGGATTTGCAAGCAGTTTATTTGATGAGATTTCACTTCTGTTTGTATCAACTATGTATTTAAACTTTAACAGCTGTTTGCATGTTTGTGAACAATCAAAATTCCCTTCTGTTTCAGATCAGTCAGTGATGTTTTCATGAGACTTTGTGAGAAGTATTACAATCCGTTTTGTGGAACATTGGTCTGTGGAAACTTCAACTGCTCAGTACAACTTTTTCCTCATCCCGAGCCGCTAGTAAAGTAAGCACTTTTAAGAGAGAAGAGATATAGAGAAATCGAATAGTTTAGTATCATCTAAGTGTTGACAGCCTGTCCATGAATTTCTTAGTTGTGGCGGACAAATTGATCTGAAATGTCGAATAATCATGATTGTTTTTGTTTGAATTGTTTTGAATGATTCTTGGTCTGCTTCATTGGCACTGTAAATTTAATTTCTCATTGTCACTCTTGCAATGCTAACATTCTGACTGTGAATTCGTCTCAAGTATCTCCCTTTTCAAAGCAGAGTATAAAAAAGTCAAAAAGTGAATTTATGAGTCACTGCTGTATAGTTTAGAAACAATGAAGCTTTTATACTCACTCTCTGCTGTTTTGTTCTAGAAGAAAAAATATTTTTTTAAACTTTCCTTATTTGTACCTAAAAAATTGAGAGCATGTACAGAACTTATTCTCTTACTTCTTGTTTTAATATTTTCATAAGGTAATTTTAAGTATCCTTTAAATTTTCGATGGAGAAGAAAAAATGAAAGTAAACAACAAATAGGAGAGTACTTTTACAAATATAGATAACTTTATTAATTACTCTGCAGAAAAGTTTTCGTTTTGTTCATTTGACAGACAACTAGATGACTGCCAGGAGACGTACAGTGTGTCTGAAAAACTGGAAATCGTTGGCTTCATAGATATTAAAGATGTCGGGAGCCCACCCACAATTGCCCGTCATCTCATCCTCCCAAGGTCAATCAGAGAGAAAGCAGCTGATGGTATTTTTTCTTTCCCTCTGACTCAGACAGGAATGTTACCTTTTAGGGGATTGGTGTCTTTGCACTTTGCATGTTCCTGACAGAGTGAATCTTATCATTGGCTAAGTGAATTTAGCTCTCAGTTAATAATGGTAACTGTATATTGCAGGATGCAAGTAATTCCATGGTTTATGGCATACCACAAATTCTACAAAAAAGCAGATTTTAGTTCATATTAGGCCCAGTTTATTACAATACTATGCTATTATCATGTTGGTAAAGGTCTACTTCAACCCAGCATTCTTAGAATAATTGAAATCGTCTTTCGCTCATAATGTCACAGCTACCTCCTTGCTGGACCTGCAGAGAGTGGAGAGCCCCGATGTGCATGGTGGGTCAAGTGAGTTCCAAAGGGAGGGCTGAAGTAGACTGTTACCATCATGTACTCATCTCCTATCTCCAGTAATAGTATTTTTGTGCTAAAATAATATCTCCATATAAAATATAGTTCTATATTGAGAAAAAAGTCAAAAGGACAATATTTTTACCTTTGTATAGTCGAGTCAAATTGAGAAATAAAAAAAACACAGAAAAACCCAACACACATTTGAGTAAGAAGGCCAAATATGCTTCATTGACTTTTGATGACTATGGTGCCCAAAGTGTTCACAAGACCATCCTCTTTTCCATACTTTTCTGAAATATCTACTCAATCCCACCTAATATTGGAGCAGAGATGTGAAAAACCTAAGAAAAAAAATGCAAAGTTGTCCATAGAAAAAAAGCTGCATGATTTGTGAATTATACAGGTTGCTTTTGCTTGAGTTACCTTACCTCAAGGCTAATGACCCTCTAGTAGACTATCTTAATCTTACTCTTACATTTCAGCTAAAGACAAAGAAAATAAAAATGGAAAAGAGGAAGAAGAAGACAGCCAAGAGGATGGAAAGGTCCCGTCGTTTACCGTCCTACTCCATGGTAGTTTGAAAGTGGAAAGCATGGTGGCCCTCACAAGAATTCAGTAAGTATGAAGTCAGTACAGTTATATGGCTGTGTTAGATATGAACTCTGCAGCTACGGCAATTTCACCCAGTTTAGTGTAATGAAATGTGTGTCGTACCAACTCATTACCCTGTTGTGGTGCATCTCCCATCATCCTTACTCTCAAGCTAGCATGCCCATGTTCACAAACAGGTGTTTATTCAAAGGAAGAAAGAGAAAGGGAAAAAAAAGCAAGTTCATGGCATTGGCATATATGGAGTGAAAGAGAGGAAAAGATAAGAGACACCCAGACAGAGCAAGTATTTGTAACAAAGATGAGAGAAAGAAAACAAGAGGGGAGAAGAGAGTGAAAGGAAGCATAAGATGCAGGCATACATCAGGACAAATGGAGAGAGAGACACGTCATGGAAGCATGCCAGATTGGCAGTGTGTGAACCAATATTGTAGGCAGGAATCAAATGCCGTTTTTAGAACCCTGGCTTCTCTGGAATCAATGGATGGATGATGGATAGTGTGGAATGGTACATCATATTTTCCCAGTTGCATGTATTGAATTTTGTAGCACCTATGACAAATATTTATGCAATAGCTGTTGTAACTTTGTTCTACAGTTTTTAACTAGCCTGTTGTTCCCTTCTTTTCAGAGACAACTGGTATGGCATGATTTACTCCTGGGCTGACAACAAGAAGAAATCTAACCTAATAATAGCCATGTTTGAGCCAGGTAATTCCCCTCTCACAGATTTAAACAATACTTCAACATATGAGTGTTCTGCATAAAGGGCCTAACCCTTTAACTCTAAAAAATCTCAAACAAAGAATTTTGATTACCAGTGATTGATGGCAACACCTAGGTACCAGAAACTAAATTTTCAAACTAGCTGTATGCCACATTTATCTGTTTCATTTGAAAGGCCTATATCCACTGAGTGTTTTGGTACCATTCTTTAACCTCTCCGTCAATTTTTTAGAAAATTGTAGTTGTTTAAAATTTGATCAAATTTGTTAAAGTCAGTCACTGGCTGCAACCCCATGTTTGACAGACAATAAAAGAGTACCAAGAGCAGTAAACATCTCCACATTAACAGAGTACAATCACTATACCAAATATATGGAGCCTAATTTTTTTCAAGACTGTGAGATCATTACAAACCAGTACTTTATCGCCTCAAACACGATGATTTGTCGTTATTTCGACAAAAACACCGAGCATTGACCCGGCCGGCGCTGCACCAGCCCCCGCGGCGAGCGAGTCGGCTCTATACTGTAGTGTACCATGAATGCGGGGTCACATGCTTTCCGAGTCTCGCGGAAGGATTGATGAAAAATAATTCCAAGCTGATTACTTTATTCTAATAGAAAATAAACTGATCTTTTGATTGATATTTTTTATAAGCCGGTATTAGGCATATTTTGTGTAAAAAGTGATCTTTAAACATTTTGACGGTATTTTTAAAAGCTTTCTATTTACATGCCAAAGGCTAAACATATATCACGAGAAAGCCCGTTTAAAGCTCTACAGTTCTCCGCCAATAAAAAGATGGTATTTAATCATCCCTCGTTCCGCGAAGCATTTGAATGTACACGTATCAATTTTTCAACCAGCCGACCACGCATTCCGACAGCGAGGGGCTTCGCTTTCGTCGGCGATTCTCCAGCTCCTAATAATCGGACATATAAACAACTTACACCGCTGTAACGAGGAAAAGCTGAACTTTTATAAGGTGTACGGCATTTGGTGTTTTATAGCGAAAGAGCGAAGAAACAGCGATCGGAATTACCCCGATTTCACCGATACCACACGGTCGGAAGGCCGCGAGTGCCCGCGAGGCCGTGTTTACGCTACCTACAACACCCTCTTTTGTTATGACTTCCTGGGGCAAACAGAGACAGTCATTATAACTTTGTCGTTTTGTTTTCAAAATATGTAACAATATTTTATATTCAGAATTTATCTTTAAAATTTATAAAAGTGTTGAAGATAGCAAGCCTAGATTAAGGACGTTTAGTCTCCATTTTTCATTGAATTGAAAGTAATCTATGCAATCTTCATTTGTCTACTGTGATCTTCCATCACAACTTTTCATCAATGAGTTGATTGTGTGATAGTTAAAATTAATTTTAGCCTTTAGGAAATAGAATTGTAACATCAGCTGTAACATTCTTAAATAATGTATCTCACTTCATAGACAGCGAAAGATCTTGTCAGTATGTTAGTGTTTTAGCGCCCATAAATGGCTGCTTGCACTGTATGCTTCCCAGGAAGTTGAGGTTATTTCAGAATGCTGTCAGGTCTGCTGGGGTAATAGTATAGATTGTGAAGCACATAGAGTTTGCTGTTGAGCGGGGATTTGCGCTATACAAATGCTATCTGTCTGAAGTTCTCTCTCTCTCTCTATATATATATATATATACAGAGCTGGTAGTGACGGAGTACAAGTTCTCCGGTACTTGTACTTGCGTTACAATTTTCGTTACTTTTACTGTACTCCGCTACATTTTTGAGAACCAGTACTTTTACTCTACTCCGATACTTTTTATAAAAGTACTTCAGAGTTCTTTTAAAAGTACATTTTGAGTACTTTTGAAGCTTAAAGAAAGAGTAAGTGCCGGCATTTCTGATCATAATTTACAGAACAAACACCCAGGCGGGCACAGCCAATCAACCAAGAGTTAAAAGTTGAGATCAAAGAACGGCCCGTTGTGTCAAAGATCAGCCACTCTCGTGAATGTGATCACAAGCGTTGTAAAACTCGATGAAAGGGTACAATGTTTGCCCCAGACGGGATCACACCGAGGTGTGAACTGACCGATGCGTTTCTTTTCCTCAAACATCGCACTCGCATCTGAGTTTGCCACCTAAACTTACATCACTGGCTGGGTGGGTAGGGCCTACAAGTTCGCTCCAGGCAGGATCTCATCGAATTGTGAACTCTTCCCTGATCATTGAAGGCAGTTTTTCTCTATTCCCTATTATGTGAGACAGCCTGAATTTTAATTGGTGTGGTCACAACGTAATGGTGCATAACGACAAAGGCGGGGGGACTCAATCAGAGATGGAAGGCTGAAATTTTTGGACATGTAAAGGGGAGGGGCAACTGGATAAACGTAGATAAAGATCTCGAGACTCACGATGGGCTAATGAGTGTATGGCATGCCTCATGCCACTGTGATTGGTCATCAAGGTTGACCACTCTTTGCTCTCCATATGTCATAAAACCACACAGGGGTCACATCAGTTCATGGGTCACTGTAGATTCTTCCTTGGCTTCGTCGGCTAAGATCCCGTATTACCCTTGCTCCCAAGCACTGGGATCTTAGGCGGAGACTACTGTAGTATAAAATCTTTGGTTACACTACACTGACTAGACTCTAGGAAACTACATGTATTTTGGTTTGCCGTGGGCGCCGTGGACGACACAGTGTGACCAAAATCTGTCTTACCACTATAATAATGGATTGAAACTGAGTTCTCAATGTATATTATCTAACAATTTTTTAGGCTACCTAAATTTCTTTTTAACCTTTTTTTAGGTGGTTTTTACTTAAGGCTACATTGATTCCTTGAGGATTTGTTAATGAAGAATTCAATGCACTTTTCTATTTCTTTGCTGGCCATTTTCATCAATTTTATGTTTTCATAAGAGCAAATTTGTCTCTACATTTTCCAATTTCGATACTTTTCCTGTAGTACTTTCCAACCTCATGGACTGACTTACATTTGATCACATTGTCTTGCTTAAACAAGTTCTATTCATAATATCACTTACCGTACTCACTAGCTGCGTCTGTTTGTTTTTTTTCAATTTCATGGACCATTTCCACCTACGTTCAGTGCGTACATTGTATATTCAAATGCTTTGTATACTGTTTACATTTTTAGTAATAAATGGCCTAATTTGTTAAATATACTGGATATGTTATTCAATATGTTTTGTGTTAGCACTGAAGTGTTTTAGCATATTTGCAGAAAGTACTCAAAATGTACTCATAAGTACTTTTTAAAAAAGTACTTGTACTCAAGTATATTTTACAGGAAAGTACTTTTACTGTACTTAAGTACATTTTTAGATTGTACTTAAATTTGTACTTAAGTACCTTTTTAAAAGTACTTGAACAGCTCTGTATATATAGTACTTAAGTACATTTTTAAAAGTACTTTAACAGATATATATATATATGTATATGTATGTATATATATATATATATATATATATATATATATATATATACATATATATATATAAGCCTTTCAGCTTATAAGCATTTTTTCGTGCACTTTATAAAATTTGGACTGAATACTTTAGTGGACTTTAATCCATGGTATCATCAAAAACTGTGATTAAGTATGAAAACAGGTTCCTTTTTCTTAATTTTATCAAGAGACACTTTGGCTGGCAGTATGATGTACAGATATTATGTTATATTTCTCTGCAATAACCTTTTGAAACAGATTATCATGTCATGTCTAAACTTGATTAGTTATTTTCCATGATATGCTTGACTCTTGTCTACAGGTCAGAATTCCATTCCTTGGCTGGGTAGTTTTGACAATCTGACTTCATGCAAGGAATATTTACCTGACATGGTTTACTCTGATGAAGAAAAGAAATCACCATTTCCAGTATTCCCTTCTGACAAGAGAAGTTACTCATTACCGTGTATAGTCTGGATCAAGCCATCCGGACTACAGGTAGCTAGTCAGAAAAATCATCGTAATGTACATTTCATTGCATGTAGAGGAAAGCAAAATTGATGAAATGGAGGCTTCGAATTAATGGACAATTGGATACTTTTTTAAAGTTATAGATTATTGCAAGATAACATGATAATACCTGACTTTCTCAAGAAATTGATAAGATTAAGAACAATACTGCTGTAAGCTGACAAAACACTTTTTCATTTTGGTGCCAACAATTTTTATTTGCTAAATCGAAATCCTGATCAGTTACCCTACTTGTGTGAAAAAATCAAAGTAAAACTCTGACCAGTTTTTGAATAAATTAGAACTCAAATTTCAGAAGCACTCTTTTTTTTTATGGTTACGCTGACAAAAAAAACCCCTTTTTCTCAAAACTGCTGTGAATAAGAAAAGGCGTTTTGTCAGCTTTTGGTAGAATAGAAATGGTCAAACGACATTGAAGCAGCTGAACATACTTGAGTGCTTGCCTAGTTGCAGCTACAAACACAGAACATGATATGTCCTCTTTGAGACCAACCAAGCCTATTTGGAAATGGAATGTCCTAACTGCCGATGTTTCTTTAAGATGTGGCACTTGGTATAGAAGGACAAAATGAACTTAGTGCATACAGGAAATGTGAAAGTCTCGAACAAAAGCAATAAACTGTGTTATAGACTCGCAAAAACATTGAAACTTTTGTTATGGAGAGAATTTGTCTTCAGAGTATAAAATATTTTAACACCTGTGGGACTGGCCTCAGACTTGACTTTCAGTTCCCCACGACTGGAGCTGCTGCGTACTTTCTGACTGTGCGAGATATGTGTTACTCTAATGGATAACTCAGCCTCTAGTAAAATTGTGGATATGATCTGAAATTTCACCAAACTGTTATGAATATGATTCCCTATGCCACGACACATTTTTATTGAAAAAATATTTTGGTTTGAGTCGATTAGGTGTAATCAATTATGTAATGGTAAGTTTTTGTCCAGAATCAGCCCGTAACAGGTATAATAGATTATATCTAGATCTGCATATTGAGTAAATTGCTCTTCAGTCCAATGATAACTGGTTCCAGATCTATTTTTCATCACATTTGTTCTCGATCTGAATACTCCCGATCCAAATAATCAAGGTCTACGTTCCAGTCAATACTGTGTCCATACAACTAAGGTTCGGTGAAATACCTTTTTATACTCATTTTATCGCTTTCTACATTTGATTATCAAAAATTTGAGGCAAAATATCAAAAGGGAACTAATCAATAGGTAAGTGAAAACATAAATATGTTTAGAGAAACATCGACAGGCCTTGGTTGAGATATATAGGTTATTTCACTTGCGATTATCCTTGTCTGTGGTCCTGAGGAAGCAGTTGGGCTTTGTGAGTATTTTCGTCCATGGTCCCATAGATGTTAAGCTGTCAGCACTGATTTGGAATTTATTGTCATTTCATTATTTGACATTTGACAGAGTACATTTTTATTTGCGCTACCTTAACATTTGGTTTTCCATGTTTTTAATACTTTCAGATTTTTTAATGATCTGTTTTCTCCTGTATTATGATTTTTTCAGTCAGATCTTCAGAAAGTTTTGAGGCATGCCAAGAAGCTGCCGGATAAATTACAGCAGTTTTACAAGGTACTGCAGCATAACGCCTTTGCTTAAATCAGCTAATGTTATAAGATAGTAATGCAAGATGAAAACGTTTGTAGATCTAACCCAAATGTATGAGAGACATGATTTGATTTTCCTTAGATCTCATAGCAACATGTCTCAAGAATATTTCATCAAAGTTTTTTTCATAAATTAATTTCAACGTCTATAAAGCCGTAGCAAAATATGTCATTGAAAAGTGACCTACTGTAGCAAGAGCAAATAAATCCATTTGATTTCAAGAGGCTAAAAAGATGATGCTTTAGTGAAGTGCAAAGTGTATCCTGCCTAATTAATTTTATGTCCTCATTTGTGGTTACTTTTGGCTAGTGTTAGTGCTGTTTACACTGGAAAATCATCTGATTAGTTGTCCACCTTCTTACTACAACAATCAAGGAACACCATGTGGCTTCTCTTTGTCCAAAAGTATTTTTGTTAGATTTCTTTTTAGGAGGCAGATTCCTCTGCATAGCAGAAATCCACAAGGATAATGATCTGTATTATGTTACCATAAAAAGAACATGTTTGTGCTCTTTCATTGATAGAGAAATAATATGTGTATGAATATGACTTATCTGTCCCAAGACTGTGTCTATTCACCCACTCTGGCTTTATTCACTTGTGTACACAAGAAAGCACTTTGTAAATCTTGAAGCCAACTGAATGTGTATTAATAAGCACCTTTAACTTTTCACCAGGAACTCAACAGAACCAGACGTGCTGCCCTCTATTACGGATTCCACATTCTCCTTGAGGCAATGGCAGCGATCTTGGAACGGGAGTGCACTCTCCTTCCTGGAACAGCCCATCCTAATGCAGCCATACAGCTCACTCATGCTGCCAATGCTCTCAGATATGAAACTGCTCTTGATGTCAATCACACCATTATGCCTCTGCAGACGAACTTTGCAAGTGGAAGTTCATCCTGAAAGCATTTAAACTTTTTCTGCTTTTTCTTTGTTCCTTTGCAAAATTTTGACATCTTGCATCAGAGCATGACTGAATCGTGTTTTATTGATAACACTGAACATAATATGTTTTCATATTATTAGGTAGTGTAAACATGGGGCATAAGCTGACTCAAGGCGCTCTGAGCGAGTGGTTTCAGTGGAACTAGGGCAATTCAGGTCACTGTTTCCTTGTTCTGTAAGCTACAAAACATCAAATGTTGTGCACCATGAAAAAGTTCAGCTTTTCCTCATTTCAATGGTGTAAGTTGTTTGTATGTTTATGTATTTGGAGCTGGAGAATAACTGGAAAGCATAACCCCTTGCAGTTGGAATGCGGGGTCAACTGGTTCAAAAACTGACACCCATGCATTCAAATGCTTCGCAGAAAGATTGATGAATAATGCCATCTTTTCATTGGCTGAGAACTATAGAGCTTTGAATGGTCTTTCTGGGGGTGTGTATTTGGCCTTTGGGGTTTAAATAGAAGGCCTTTAAAAATAACGTCAAAGTTTTCAAAGATAATTTTTTACTCGAAATAAGTAAAATCCAGGTTAAAAAAATGGCACCAATAGAAAAATCAGTTAATTTTCTATTACTATGGAGTCTTCGGCTTAGGATTATTCCTCATCAATTCTGCCATGAAACTCCGAAAATATATAACCCCAACACTGGGAGCAGTCAGTACACTACAATAGTATAGAGCCAAACCTCTCTGTCATGGGGGTTGATGCAGCGCCATCCAGACAGGGCTTCGTTGACAATCTGCTTGAAATACAAAAATACTGATTTGCAATGTTCCCCTAGTCTTTAAAAAATTAGGCTCCTTATCTATATGTTATTGTGATTGTCCTCTGTTGATGTATAGGTGTTTGGTGGCCTTCGTACTGTTTTATTATCTGTCAAACATGGGAGGGCAGCTAATTTGTGAATTTCGCAATGTTTTGATAATATTAAAACGTCTGCCATTTTCTTAAAAATTGACTGAGAAGTAAAAGAATGGTACCAAAAATCTGAGGAACCATAGGCCTTTTATGACATGGATAAATTTGTCATACAGCTACTTAGAAGACATTAGTTTCTGGTACCTAATATTCTGTAGTTTACTTTCATAAATTTTCATGAAGGTTCTGTTTTCTTCGAATGTTTAGATACAATAGTCTTGAGGAATTTTTATGGTGATAAGTGATTCAATGAAAATGGTTAACAGAACCGTGACACTTTGTTGGTATATATTGTAATAGAACCTGTTGAATTGAAACTAATGGAGACAGTAGAGTACTAAACTATTCATGCTGTGATCAGTTTGTATTATGAAAGGTAATAAGAACAGCGGTATTGAAAAGCAATAATCATTGAATTTGAATTTGAATTAAGAAGAGAATATTTTACTTCCACGTCACCATAATAATGACTAAACTTTGGACAGGATATAATATCTAATAAAACTTGGTTTCATTATCAATACAGATAAAAACTAAGTCATCTGATAAACTTTAGAGGAAGGAAGAGTAACTGAAAGGGATGTGTATCTCGTAGATTTCTGCAGGTTACTTTCTCTCAGTGTCTATAACTTGCGTTTCTTTGCTCTTGTTTGCTGAACTGAGATGTGTGCATTACATGCCTAAAACCTAAAATAAATAATTTTCTCGAAATAATTTGATAATGTAAAACACCGATAGAGAGAGAGAGAGTGAGATTGTTACTTAGCTGAGAGAGATGAAGTATAGGCCTACCTGATTTTGAATGTACTTACTTCTAGATTTGTGCAAATACGTTCGGATTTTGAGATGCTTTGTGCTTACAGTAACTGACAATTCATGTTAGGTGAGTCTGTACTATACTATAATTGTGTGAGGTTTATTACTTTGTTGAGCTGACAGCTTTTTTATTCGTTTTAAAGATGTATCTTAATGTGATAATGGTAGGCAAATATTTTTTCTAAATTTGAGTCTAAATTATTTCCAGCATAAATAACACGACTGCATCTTTTTCACTGCCGCATATTCAGTTATACTTGTAGGGCAACCTACATATCTATGTGTCATCATGTTGTTATTCCTTGTGTTGAGTCTTTTGCAAAATTAAATGTACGTAAAAGTATTTTTCATACGATGTTCTTTTCATTTTTCTGATTCAGAAATGAAGATCTGTTGTGTGAGAACTTTCTGCTTTGTCTGTCAATTTAAATTTCAAGGATAATGGTTTTTAAATGAAACGCTTGAGTCTAAAAAATTACTCACCTTGTTTCTTGAATCATGTTTCTTTGGCGTACGTCAGCGTGTGGTGTTGAGAAAAAATATATCGTTCTAGGGATTTTCGAGCGTGGAGTCCAATACTGTTGCTACAGTTTATTAAAGGTTTAGCAGTTCAAATCAAACAAAGAAAAATCGGGATGGTTGAATTTCGAAATAAATATGGTGGAGATACTTTTGCCATGCTTGAACTCACTGTTAGACAAGATGCAATCATAGCCATAACAAAATAACCCTTCTCTCCTATCCTTTTTATATGGGACTTAACGACTGAAAGTCTACGTTTCAGTTTAGAATTAGAATGACTAGATTCTTGACCAAGATTTACATTAACTTAACATGCAAAAGTAGAGCAAAAAAAGGCATTCTTTCTACAGTAATTAATATTCACATTAAATTTTGTATACACTCTCTTCTATATTATCATTAGATCTCATTTATTTGCAGTTACCAACTAGTATGAGTTTCCCCTATCTTGTCTTGGTAATTTCCCACATTCAATATTTGTCCCTGTATTTTCATGTTATTTTATATATTAATGCTGTCCAGTAATATCACGGACGGTCAAAAGCAATAACCCATGAAATTCTCTTTATCATACTTTATGGCTTGGTCATTTTTGTCTGACCGTGGTTATAACGAGGTAAAATGAAATTGCTCTGTTCAAACTAAGGTTCCAACAAATTTTCTTTGATGTTAGCCTAAAGCTAGTCAAAAAAATAATAGGGGATTTATTTACATCATTCACGATACACCTAAACTCTATGACTTGAAAAGTTGACATTTTTTCTCAACACCGACACCACACTTTGACGTATGTCAAAGAAACAGGATTCAAGAGATGAGGTGAGTAATTTTCGAGACTCATGTGTGGAGAAATTTTGACAGTCGGTGAATGGACACGCACACGTGCACACACACACATGTATGTATAATTCTCTCTATATATTGATGGCTGAGCGCAAGAAGTGATTATATCCACTTTCGGTCAAAATGGAGTAACTGATACGGGTAGTGAGATTTTAAGACGCTTTTTTACCTCTGTAAATATATCTAAGCTGTACCTTAATTCGGTATGGAGATATTAATGGTTCTTCTATGACTGTTATAGAGATTTCTAAATCATCAAAATTTCAAACTCATTTTTCTCGCAGCTGTGAAAAGTGGAAATAGTCACTTTTTGCGCTCAGCTGTCGATACAATAGACTCCACCTAAGAAGATCCCACCGGTTTGCTAAAATCCTGCTGTTTTAAGAAAACAGAATTTTTGCTTCACAAAGGCCACCCATAAGATCCTTCTCTGATTCACTCTGAAGGTCAACCAACATTCGGCTAAGATCACGCATTTCAGATAATAATTTACGGAACCAAAACACTGGCGGGCAAAGCCAATCAACCAAGAGTGAAAAGTTGAGATCATTGAACTGCCTGTCACGTCAAAGATCAGCCACTCTCTTGAATGTGATCACATAAGCGTTGTAAAACTCGATAAAACAGTAATCTATAATGTTTGCCCCAGAAGGGATTACACTGAGGTGTAAACTGACTGATGCATTTGTTTTCCCCAAACATCGCACTCGCATCTGAGCTCTCCACCTAAAATTACAACACTCGCTGAGTGGTTAGGGCTTACAGGTTCACTCCAGGCGGGATCACGTTGAACTGTGATTTCTTCCCTGACAAATGCAGCAGTTGTCTCTACTCCAGAATTTTCCAGACAGACTGAATTTTAATTTTAAATGTGCGGTCACAGCATACCTACATGTACTGACCCCAAAAAACCTTCACCCATGGGAAAGCCTATAAGTAACAAAGTGCACAATTCACCGAAAAATTGACAGGAAGCAAGCTGAATCATCCAGAAGAAGAAATACGTACCAAAAACAACTACCTTGGAAGCAGCCACGGTTACTCTTAAGGATGCAGTTCACTGTTGAACATTTTTATGATTGAAACATGTCGAAACAAAGTTCCCTATACGGACACGGAATCTCTTCTGTAAACAGTTTGAAATTAACACCAAAGACCGAAAGAAAATACCAAGTAAAGTAACAATACTTAAGTGGGTAACTGACTTTAAGTCTAATGGCTCTGTTGAAAATAAAAGCAAGAGATAAAAATCTAGGGTCACTTACAGTGGGAGACCGATGCAAGTGCGCACTCCTGAAAATGTGGCAGTGGTGATGAAGTATGTGAGCGAAGAACCTAAAAAGTCAAGTTTGTCGTCATAGTATTGAATTAACTATTGCGGGAGAATCTGATCGGCGCATGTTGAAGTACCATCTAAAGTTTAAACCGTACAAGATCCAGGTACATCAACAAAGGCGACGCCAATGCAGCAGACAGAGTGAAAATGTGCAGGTGGCACAGTGGACCCCTGGGCTTCTCACAGTCCTGATCTCAACCCTCTAGAATTCCACCTTTAGGGGTAGGCCTATCTAAAGGCTAAAGGACAAAATATGTGGTACTAACTTTCAAACCCTCCAGCAGCCGAGAGACACTGTTACCACCAACGTCTGAGCCATCATTCCCCTGGAGCAAATGAAAAATGTCGTAGACAATTTCATCAAGCGCCTCAGAGCGTTTATCGCCCAAAACGGACGTCACACAGAGCACATGCTCTAACTTCTTTCAAACTTTTAATTTTTATTTGTAAATTTGTCACAATAAATCTGCATGGTGACCAAGTATGTCAGTATGTCTGTAAAATCTTGTGTTTCTATTTCTATCTCTATTTTAAGCGTTTTTATGGGCGTCTTCGTGGGTAAAGGTTTTTTTGGGTCACCTGGTAATGGTGCGTAACGATGAAGGCAGGTACTCGGCCAGAGATAGACAAGTAAAGGGATGGGGCAACTGGATAAGCGTAGATCTTGAGACCCTCGACAGGATAATAAGTGAAAATGGAACGCCTCATGCCACTGCGATTGGTCATCAAGGTTGACCACCCTTTGCTCACCAATTTCATAAACCCACCAAGGGGTCGAATTAGTTCATTTTAAAGGGAAGGGAGACTATTTTACCGGTTGTGGGCCTTAGCTTGGGTCACTGTAGATTCTTAATTTTAGATAGTGTTTTACTTCACTTGCAACACAATAAGGTATAGTGCCGAATTTAGAGGAGTTACAAGAGAGTAACAAACACAAAAAAGAAGGTGGAGAGATAAGGACGATAGATGTTTGATAAGAAAGAAGAAGCAAACCACACCAGAGCAACCGCCAACCACCCGCCAACCACCCACTCTGTTGATTCTTCCCTTGGTGTGTTGGCCAAGATCCTGTTCGCCAAAGATCCTGCATTTTCCTTGATTTTTTTTTTTTTGTGGAAATAATTTGTAACTGCATTCTCATTAAAAACAAAGGTAAAATAATGGAAAATTTCAACTTTCACAAGGATCTGATGCCAATTGTTCCAGTGAAAAATGAACTGCAGTGGGTAGACCCCTATTTGTATTTGCGGTAGACCGTTTCAATAAAATTTTTTATCAAAGATGAGCCCAGTCCTGAAATCTTAAAAATAAAATAAAAACATCTCAGAGACAAATAAATCATAGCTTTGAAATGAAAGTAAAAGTGCCATGTGTTGATGACCCTTTTACTTCTCTATAGCTGTGAATGCTGTCAGTGAAAATAAAGTAGTGAGCAATAGAAACATGGTTTCAGTTTCATAGGTGACTGGGTAATTTCATGGAAGGAGTAGGAATCGAATGAGGTAATGCTGCCTGTAACTTACTCTAACTCTAAGTCTAAGAAGCTCATGTGGGCCTAGCCATAAGATAACAGGTTGGTAAATGATATGCTTTCGATTACCAATATGACCAACATGAGGAGGTTCCAAGTTTGCTAGTTCTTCCTGGAGGTACACATGTAACATCTTCTCTCTGTCAAGTGCCCTGTCAGAAAGCGGCCCAGCCTGTGAAATGACCTTTCCTGTGGTATTATTCACTTTGACAAGCTGAAAGAAAAAGGGACCAAAACACTCCCAAACTAGAGCTAATGTAGGAAAATTGCATCATGTCCAGTGTATATAGAATTAAGTACAGAGCCATTATGCAAAAAATATTTTTTGTTTTATTTTCCAAATATACTCGAATCAACTTCATCAACAGTGCAACAATATTTGTGACATGCATATGAACAGGTGGGAAATTTGTTCAACTTCAGTCCATCACTTTTCAGTAAGAGAGCACAGCACATAAAAGAGAGCAAAGAGGTTTTTAAAACATTTCCTGACATAAACATGGACCAAAATAATAATAATAGATTGCATATATCTAACCCTCCATCCTATACAAATATAAGTCTAACCAAATAAGAGAACATAACTGCAACCACCACAAAGATGATATGATTGATACATCATGAAACATGAGAATGTTTATAATGTCCTGAATAGAAAGGCAGGCTTGTCAACTTTTTCAAACCCCAATCGCAGACATCCAGTGTCATGACATAAATTATGTAACAAATGACAAAAATTACTTCATGCGGGACTGGTTTTGGAGTAGTATAGCAAATGTCCTCTCAAATTCCTTGACTGCCAAATCTGGGACAGTCCCAGGAAATTCAGGACAGTTGTCAAGCCCGGAGATGTAAGCTCCTATATCATGAGTGTACAAGTACAAGTAAATGCCTTCTTCCGAGATGAGATCATTGTTTAAACTACATCCCGAGGCAGATCTTAAATTTGACATTCTCATTCCACAGCTAATTTTTCAAATTGTAGGTCGAATTCAATGCAAGGCCCTGTTGACCTGGCTACTATTTCACTATATATTTTGTTTTTGCCAATCAAAGTGTGGTATGGAAAATGTTCGTTTGGATTAAACAGTTCAGATTACAAGAATCTAATTTTTTAAATTGCATTCTAAAAAGTTTGAAAAATTGTCTATCGGAAGAGGCAATTAATTGTATTGGGCTCAGAATTATCTCGAGTACATGTACTAAAAACAGTAACAAAAGAAGCAAGTGTGTGTAAATCATGAAAGTGAAAGAGTCTGACTTCACAGTCTGTACACATGAAAAATCAGGTTTTTTTTATTCCATACAACAGGGAAATGTTTGTATAGAAAGTTTAAACAAAGTCTAGCGACAGAAAGATACTGACCTTGAGCAAGGTGGAACACATTGTTATAATTTTACACTTCAACAATATATTTATCAACTGCTTTTCTCTTCTTAAAATTAACACAGCAATCCCCCATGTGGATAATAACAAATTAATAAAGTGAGGCATAAGTGAAGGCTTATTGACCTCATAGATGACCCAAGACATATAAATAATCCGAACAGGCCAACCTGCTTTGAAAACAACCCAACATAGACAATTATCTCGGTTTCCTTTTCCATTGAAATCGCAATATTATTTATTAGTTTGGCATTTTGAGTATTCCTTGTACATTTATGCTTGAGCTCTTTGCAAATTGTTGTACTATAGAGTTTTCCTCACTGCATCCAATTTCACTTCATTTTCTCTCATTTTCATTTATGGTTTAAAAAAATCCAAGCATTCGTAACTTCACTTCACTCTGTCACATAAACGTGTGATCATGCCACAATGAAAAAAAATCAAACCATCAAACCATCCATATCACACTAAATAACTTATAATAATATTAATAATAATAAAAGTTTCTAGTTGACAAATTCTACAGAAAAACTTAGAATAACCTTCCCAATGAAATATGAGAGGCATGTAGGCCCATTCCCCTGTTGTGTCAATAAATTACGCATAAGTGACCCATACATACATTATACAGCAAAAAATGAAAAGTTGAGAACTCTCTACTCAAAATAGTAAAACAGCTGGAATCTCCATTTATGATTGAAATGCTTGAAATCTAAAAAAAAAAGCTAAACATAATAAATACAATCAAACCTGCCCTAATCAATGGCCACCTGCACAGTATAAGTCAACCACCTGTACAGATGGACACTTCCAATTCCTACTCTTACATATTTTTTACATTATACTGACACTGTGTAAGACAGCCACCTGTCTAATACTGACACTTTTCTCATTGACAATGGGTGGCTGCCCGAGACATTTCAATAGAATTCATCTCCCAATGACTCCTAACATACATTACTATTACGATAGGTCAACTAGCAGGAACTTCTTCGAAGACTGAAATAAAATGTTTCTCATGTTGACAAATAAAACCAAAACAACCCTAGATCAATGAAAACTTAACAACATTAACAAAGTTACAAATTAAGAATGGAATACTCAATAGGAAACATAAAGTGCTTTTAGTTTGTCCTCTACCAAAGGCAAGCTCTTAACTCATTCGGGACACGCCCGATAGCCTTGACCTCCGTTGGAGACACATCGGACGTCGATAGCATTTCTCGACCGTTGCATTCACACAAATGAAGGTATTCCAGGAAATAAACTTTTGGTTGACATTGCCAAGCCATATTTTATTTTGTATTTTTTAACTTTTGACCGTATAGCGTCCTTTTTTTGTAATTTTCTGTGGCGATTTATGAAGGCAGTCGAGGAGACAAAGAACACGGATCTTTGAGGAGTACTCGGGGTACCATACAAAGAAGGACTATTCGCAATGACTGAAACTATTTCTTCACAGTATTCGGACTGTAAATTGTGTTGGGGTGTGTTTTGAGCAGCGTTAAAGTTGTGCTCTAACTTTTACCTTGTTTGTTTCCGCATTTCTTCACTGTCAGCTTAGAAGGAAAAAAAATATGCTAATATCAAAAGGGGAAAAAATGTCAGACTTTCAAAGTTGACCCAAAATCGCGTGTCTCCGGGTGCAAATCTGGTCCAAAACCTGCGTCCCGAATGAGTTAATTATAGCATGCCTTGTTATTGAAGACTAAACTCAGGTTCAAACTGAACAGTCAGCCATTCATACCATCTTGTTAGCTGTTTACTTTTAAAATCAAACAATGTATGAAAACATAAACTTAACTAAGCAAAATGAAATAAATATTACAAAGAACAAAGCAAAGACCACAATATTAAAAATGGTCTTTAACTGCTGTACTGAGTGTCAACAATTACACACATAATGCTTTATGGATTCACTTCAGAAGATTATAAAAACAATTATACCGTATTGATAACGTTTCATGGAAGAGAGTTAATCTAATACATGATACACAAACACTTTTAAAAGTCTATCAACCATAATTATTATAAGTATCATTCTCTCAGATCTCAAATCATATGATTCAAAGTATTTCATTTTTTAGTTTAGCATTCACAAGTGTAAATCTGTCCTCCCCGGTCATAATCAGTCGTAAGATGCACAGTGCTATTAGGCGCTATGAGGCTCGAAAGGCTAAACATTGACTTTCCATGAATTTTTTGTTTTTTGGATCTATTGAAAGTTTAATGTCTTCTGCTTCTTTTAAGTTTTAAGATGAAAATAAACAACTATAGTAGACTACAAATATTTTATTTTGATTTATTTTGGAGGTGTGTGTGTGGTTTGTTGTGAGCTTGGGTGACAAGATAAAGGAATTTGGACGTCAAACCCTTTCAAACATTTGACCTGCTGGTGTGCAGCTGTGAGATTATTTATAGAACCATTACCTCATGGCCACATTGTTTCAACGTTCTTCATTCGCCCCTATTTTTAGATTTAGACCCATTTTTGAGCATGAATGGTCTGAAATATAAACAACTTAGCATTACTATATATATTAACACTGAGGACTCTGATTGGGCGGGGTAAGAATGGTAGCTCCTAGCCCACTTCACGCTTGTTTACGTAAAAAGTTTTACACTTTGATTGATTCTTAAAGCTCCTTTTTATTGTGTTCAAGAGGGTGTTTTTTAAAAGATTGATGTTCCTCTAGATCTCCCAAGGGGAGCTTCTTACTAAGAGGCCATTAAGGCAGTCTTTATGCAAGTGTGTGTGTATGTTTTTGTAAATGTGGTGTGTGTATGAGTGTATTTGTGTATGCATGTGCATATATGTGTGTGTGCACTCGTGTATTTATAGTGCTATTGCAATTGTATAATTAGGTAGCGTAAACATGGCACGTAAGCGGACTCGCGGCCTTCTGAGTGCATGGTTTCGGTGAAGTCAAGGTAATTCAAATCGCTTTTTCTCAGCTCTTTTACTATAACACACTAAATTTTGATGCTGTACACCTTGAAAAAGTTAAGCTTGTTTTTCGTTACAATAGCGTACTTTGTTTGTTTTTCTGAGTATTTGGAGAATCGCAGTGGAAAGCGAAGTCCCTTGCAGGGTTGGTGATTTTTTGGATTTTTAAAATAAAAACTAAAAAAAATCGATTTTCTTGATTTAAATCCGATTTTTAAAATTTAAATCCGATTTTTTATATTTTTAAATTTAAATAAAAATGTTGACACAGTTTGGGATTTTTAGTGGCTAAAAGTATGTTCTTTTAGTGCAAAATGCACTGTCTTTATTTCAACTAATGATTAATTTAAGCAACTGCAAAAAAAAGCCTTAATCTGCTATATCAGTGAATTATGTCTACAGACAAAAAAAATGAAGAAAATGTCAGTCTAAAAGGAGGGGGGGGGGGTAATTATGCATAGATAAACTTGCATTTTACTACAGTGTGTGTGTGCGTGCGCTTGTGTTTGTCTAAAAAGGAAAAGAAACAAATGCTATTTTCAATTATGAAAAAAAAGTAAATTGAATACTGCATTATTTTACTACTTAGCGACAGGGGAAAGCAGACTTTTAAGCATGATTATATTTGTCTACTAAACCTTATCTGTTTTATAAAACCAAGGAAAGGAATTCTGAATGTTTAAAGATGTAAAACCAGAATACATTTTTTAAAAAGTGATTTAAATCACTGAATTTTATTTTTAAAATCAATTTGATTTAAATTTTAAAAAAATCAACTGATTTCAATCAACCCAACCCAGGTTTTCAATTATGAAAAAAAGTAAATTGAATACTGTATTATTTTACAGTGAAAGGGGGGAAAGCAGACTTTTAAGCATGATTATATTAGTCTACTAAACATTATATCTGTTTTATGAAACCAAGGAAAGGAATTCTGAATGTTGAAATATGTAAAAACTGAATAAAAATAAATTTTTTAAAAAGTTCACTGATTAAAAAAAAAAAAATCAAGTTGATTTAAATTTAAAAAATCAACGGATTTAAATCGACCTGATTTAAATCAACCCAACACTGGCCCCTTGTGGTCGGAATGAAAGATCTGACGGTTCAAAAATTGACACCCATGCATTCGAATGCTTTAAGGAAAGAGTGATGGTTAAATGCCGTCTTTTAATTGGTAAACAACTTCTTTAGAGTTTTGAACGGGGCTTCCCCTGGTATATTTTTCGCCTTTGGCCATAACATGAATTATGTAAAATAACGACTCAAAAAAGGTACCAATAGAAAGAACAGTTCTTTTTCTATTAGAATAAAGTCACCGGCTTGGAATTATTTTGCATCAATCCTTTCAAGAAACTGCACCCCGGGAGCACTCAGTATACTACAGTTAGAGCTGCCTTGCTCGCCGCGGGAACCGGTGCGGTGCTGGCCGGGACAGCGCTCGGTGCTTTTTAAAATCAAAATAATCGTATTAGAGGCAATAAAATACTGATTTGCAATGTTCTCAAAGTCCCAAAAAAAATTAGGATCCATTTCTATGTTATAGTGCTTGTACTCTGTTAATGTGGAGATTTTTGGTGAACTTGGTACTCTTTATTATCTGCAGTCGGTTAGCAAATTTAGTACTGTTCGATTATATATTAAATTAAAACAGCTGCCAGTTTCTTAAAAATGGACTGAGAGGTTAAAGTATGGTATCAAAATTCACAGAAGATACAGGCCTTTCATGTGGAACAGATACATTTGACATACAGCTACTTAAAAAATTTAGTTTCTGTTACCTAGTACTAGTAGGACCTACAATGCTAACCCGTTGTTGTATTTAGCGTGAACACCATTCTCGTTAAAATTGCGTTTTGTCCATAAGCTTTTTTCCTGAGAATGAATAGTTTTCTACTTTTGTGTCTTACCTTATAGTGGCATAGCCAAGATATCTGCCAAATTTGAAGTCTCTATCTCAAATCTAAAACCCCCGTTGCTATGGAAACATGTTGCTCAACTTTGGAACCCGTTTTCTCCTTTTTGTGTTTCCGCACCTTGCATACTTAGAAGTGCCATATTTTTGTCAAATAATGTCTTATTTACTTCATTTTTCCCCCCAAACTGTACACAAATGGTGACAGTTTTAGGAAATGATATTGACTAAATTTTGAAATTTCATTTATATGACTGATATTGACCGGCAGGGACACAAATGATTATGCTCCTAGAAAATCTACTACTTTTAGGCCTTCTTTTAACAAAGTACAACAAACATTTAATAAATCAACACTTCTGTCATTTTTCACACAATCAGGAACATAGATGAATATATCAAATTTAATTAGTGTTTCAATGACACCCATTTCCCAGTATACAACATGTAACCCTTACCAAGTTATACTGTCAACTGAAATTCAGAAATGAAATATTTTCTCCCTTTTACCTGTTGTCCATGTGGGGCAAAAAATCAACATCTAAATAACATATGTGGGGCATCATGGTAAAACCAGGAGCTTGTCAAATTAATGAAATAAAAGAACCGGCATTTTCCTGGCCGTTGGACATTTTTTTAATGAATTTTCTTTTTTTGGCTCAGCACCTTTTATGCATATTCAAAAACACATTTCTGTATAGATCTACATTTTACTGTAAAACATTGATCAAAAGCACAAAAATTGTAAATGTAAAATTTTCAAACTAGAGTTGTTAAGTTATAGTTGAGAGCCGCTGAATCAAATGATATTTGTCGTCTCAAAATGTCTTAGCCAAGAGGAGGGGGAGGGAGTAGGCCTACTACCAGTTCAACTGACTAAAATGACAAAAAGTATGACTCTGGTGTAAGAGTGTCTTAAAAGTTCTCCATTCTATCGGACAGGACAGCATATTATCAAGTCCATCTGAATGAGACTGAGACTATAAGCTCCATATTTCTTAGTACCATCGTAACATTTTACCATACACTAGGAGACAGGAAGAAATCACTATTTAAATTCATTCATTGAGAAAAACAGGAAACAAAGATCTCAAACTTCAAAGTGGTGCTTTAACTTTAACCAGAAAGGCTGCCAATTAGAGTAAATATTTTACAACAAATAGTATACACAGTAAAACCTTGGTATGTACTCTATTTTGGACCCAAGATTTTGAATGTCTTAGCCAAGGGTTGTGTTAGCCAATAAAAGTAAAAATACTAAAAGGGACTTCGGGCTTCAGAAAGTAAACATTACAGCCGATAGTACATTTTAAGTCTACTACAAGGTTTTACTGAATAATAAAATAAATAACTTAAGAGTTCATCAAATCAAAAGAAATTTCGTATGTAGATTATGACATGTTTTAGCCATTTACCTCACGAATAAAATAGTTTGAGTTCTATCTCAAAAATGAAAACTTCTTAAATTCAATCACTGAAATTGAAATACCCTGTTATAAATCATATATCGGCACTTATTTTGACATACAGATATAAAGCATACATTATGCCATGGAAACAGAAAAAAGTGCTAGCTGCTCTTCAGATTTGCAAATGCTGTAGAACTAACTTCCTTTTAATTTGAGCACTGCAACACATCAAACATTTGCCATTCCATAAAGTTTTCTGGACAATGAAATCTGACTTTGAACCAGAGCTTTCCAGAAGGTGTCTAAGGCACTATACAGTCTTAACAACAGAGATGCCAGTAATCACTGTATCATAGTATAGTTATAGCTCTTCATGCCAAGGTGTGAAGTCATACGTCTTGATTTCCTCTGACCTGAGGTTCACAAAAAAAGCACACTGGAAACTCAGCTGTAACTGGAATGTAGAGTTCCACAATGCCTCTATTAAAAGATTGAGAAGGGCACTGACACACCACACAGGATAAGTACTATCTCAGAAGTACATCTTTCAGAATAAATAACATTGTGAAGAAAGAAGATGTAAAACCCTAAAGAAATCCTAGATTTAGAAGCTGTTCACTCTTCATAACATAGAAGAGATATAACATCAACTTCTTCAACGCCATGTTGACATACCTGGTACCTCATGGATTTGCACAACTTTCCACATCTTGATATACCCGGGAATGCAAAATGTGTTGTTTAGAGCAGGTTAAAAACTAGCAACAGTAACTTGTGATGTCATCTCTTCCCCATTATAGTATAGCTACCATACTGCAGTCATAAAACCATTCAGTGTTTCTTCAGTCATTCATCATCATAAAATACCGTAGCGGTCAGTATTTCTCAAATTTCAAAAGTACAAAATAATCATTTAATTTCTGCCCATGACAACAAAAATGTAATTAGCATTCAGAACCTGGACATTCAACTCAACAATCCTTTCTATTACTCCTGATGAAAAGCATAAAAATCAAACATTTTGAAACTGTCGTAAATCCCCTGAGCTTAAGACATGTTTCAGTTCTGTTTCTACAGACAACTGATCTCCCATAGTACGGAGCTGGCGACCGCATGTGGAGCACATATAGTGGTCACCCACCAACCGAAGCAAAGTGCCCGAAATTTTTTCTAGATGGTGGGGCGGGGCACTACTGGGTCGTTCTGGTGTCACACCACGAGGACGGGGCGGATTCGGTGTAAGGAAGACGGCATCTAGTACAGGAGGGTTCGGAGTAGTGGGTGACGTTGGGAAAGACGAAAAACGGGAAGATCCTCGACTTTGTGGTGATGCATCTGCTAGGAAATTGTCACCAAGTACATGGTGCGACTGGATGTGTCTGTCTATAATGACCCCAGTCGTGGTGGTCGTATCACCACAGCCCGTCAGCAACGATGGAGAAGAAGCAGATGCAGCAAGGTGTTGAGAAGAGCCATCTTCATAAGCTCCAATTGTATCATCTGTTCTTGGATTTTCCAAATTCGGGTATTGTTCTTTTTCACTATCCATGTCTCGTTTTGCTCCCATACTATCGTTAACTTCGGTGGAGAGCTGAGGAGGAAATACCAAACAATTTAAAGATTATGAATTTACTTTAAAAAAAATAATTTTGCACATGACATAATAGAATGCAATACATAAAACAAAGTGTTACACTACACGCAAATTTTGGGCGCATAATAAAACAAAAGCTATTATACACCTGAATGACGCATATGCAAAATTTTCTTTTTTCTGTTCTCCTTTCCCGCCTTCTTCCTCTAAGCCTAGTTTCTCCTTCGCGCTGTGAGAAAAGCACAGGCAACATGTTAAAAGGAGCAAAATTCTAATCATGGCAAGAATTTCAACAAAAGTTGAAAGAATTTGAGAGCGAACACAAACGTTCTTTTGTCTTAAAGAATTCAACCAAATCGACAACGAACAATATATCCCGAAAGCCTTCCACAACAACTAGCCAACAACTAAGCCTACTGTACCACCACCACAACAACAACTACAACAACAACAATCACTAATACTGCTGCTGCTGCTGCTACTACTACATGTACTACTGCAGCACTACTACTACTATTAGGGTCGTAGAGTACGTCCACCTCATAGAATAAGGAAAATCATAGAAAGTACAATGAGTGAGGAGATCCAGCTAACCAATCACTGTTGGGTGGACCGAAAAAAATATCGGGGCTGTCATCAGACCAAACCCATGTCATTGGTGTGACAGGTCAGAGTTCTACTGACTGATCTACTGGGACACCCCCAACCCTCCACCTTCATTATATTATTATGGACCCGAGAAATCGCTTTCAAATTCAATCTGAAGGCCAATGTAACGTAACAAGTTGCTATATTTTGTTTATGTGCCACGTACCTGATATGGGTGGGTTTTTTGGTGTAAATTTTGCACTCAGTTTTCGGGTGTATAATAACGTTTGTTATAATAAACACAAATTCTGAGTGTATTATACCGTTTGTTATTTTACGCCCAAAATTCGGGTCCAGCTGGCCACTAAAACCCTAGCAAAATCAGTTGGTTTCAAGGAAATATCAAGCCTAATTGCACAACATCAAATTAAGATAAAATACAGGGGGTTATGCTCCCCCTGAAACCCCCTAGATTTGTTTTAGGTTAGGGGGGCATGCCCCCCTGAACCCCCCCTGTTGTTACAAACAAGTGAAATACAGTTGAACCTCATTGTACCGCCCCATGTTGTACCCCCCAGCCCCACTTACGCCAGGTTTTGCCAATGTACAAAAATGGATGCCTATATAAACATTAGTATTTTTGCCTTGACACTGCCATCTGTCGAGTTGTCCCGGTCCTTATTAACTCTTAAATACAATTTCACCCAACATACCACCAACGAATTGACCGCCAGAGGTACACACTGCACACAACACCCACTGACTGACTATTTGATGATCATTCTCCCACGAGAAAGACATAGAAATAGAGAGAGAGAAGACTCAGCTCTGAATTGAATAAATATGCATGTAATATCACCAAGTAAAAGGCACTTTTCAAACACATATTGCAGAGCAGACTCATGTTCCTTGACATTGGGCAGTCGAAGCTATACAACAGTGAAACCCTGTTGAACCGCCAGCCCCACTGTTCCGCCAACTTTATGCCCGTTCCAAGGGCAGCAGTATAATGAGGTCTGACTGTATTATAACTATATATAACTAAATAATGCAATTTAGCCTTAAAATATTGTTTGTATAAAACCATCCATACGTCTCATATAATAAACTAATAATTTGCAGTAAAGTCAAGATTAGTGTGGTGTACGTGTAAAGCAAAGAGATAAGTGCATTAAAAAATGCTGCAACTGAGTTCACAGCGCCATGAACGTAGTTTGCAGGCTATGTTCACGGGGCCCTGAATGTAGTTTGTGTTTTCATCAATGCTTTTCTCAGGGGCTGCACTGCAGTCAATTTTCTGTAAATTGTTGTCTTACCTTTTCAGCGTTAACACTGTTTCTTTTATTTTATTGTAAATACCCCTCTTTGCCACTTGCTTGATGGTGGTAAGACGAAAATCTAGATCTAGGACTCGGCAATGGGGTTACAAAGAGTGAAGTTGGGAATCTCAACAACTACGATTGAGAAAACAAGCCGAGCGAGCTGTTCTCTGTCGGCATCAGTACAGTGGAACTCGGATTCAACGAGGTCGCCGGGCCTGACCTAAAATCTCGTTGAATCCGAGTGTTCTTTATAGCAAACAGTAATGACATGAGGTTTTTTGTATCTAGATAATTACAGGTGCTGAGCAAGTAAAGTAATGTATAAAGAGAAAAGTGGTGCCTGAAATGCCTGCATACTATGAGCAGCGCAAAAAAAAAAAAAGACTGATTCGTTCAAATGCATGCCTGTGTCATTTCGATTGTTTGCCAAAAAGTTGTATTGCTGTGTAGAGCCTAGCATATAAGGCAACTTTTGATTTCATAGACCAACGCACAATTCATTACGTAGATCTACGCCAAGACTAGCTTATCATTAAAATAATGATCAGTTGCCGGGGGAAAAAAAGACTGTGATGCGTTTGTATCTGTGACGTTCCACTTCCACTCAGACCGATGGTGTCTCTCCCAGTCAAATGTGTGTGCAGGCCGCCCATTGGACCCCGACACACGCTAGAGCAGACACGTGCGCGCGCCAAAAACGTATGTATTGGTATAAAAAAGCCAGCTGATTGGTCGCAAGCAATCGGCTAAGTGACTAATGGTTCACGAAGCAGGTGCAGTGGAGGGTATCTGGGAATAGAAAAAGTTCGTTGTGGGAGAAAAATGAGTGAAGCCACATTTGCGGGGACTGTTCACCCTGGAAGCGACCTTGTTGAACCCGAGCGTGCTAATTTAAGCATTCGTTGAATCCAGGAATTTTTATTCCTTGATTCTAAAGTAGAAAAAAAAACAGGCAACCCATCTCCTTTCGCTGAATCCGAGTTCTCGTTGAATTTGAGTTCCACTGTGGTATCAGTTTGTTCAAAGGCCAGCTCTATTCGGACTCGAGCCGAAATACAATTTTTATCTATTCTGACTCGAGTCCGAATATGGGTTTTATCTATTCGGACTAAAAGTGTTTTATTTATTCGGACTCAACTTCAAAGTGAGTTATGTGAGTGTAAGGAGGTTACATAATATAACTGTCGTCGGGGAATTTTACGTAAAACCAGAATTAGAACTAGAATTGCCTAAAAGGACTGTGTAATTGTGTCAAAAGTCAAAAGACTGCACTCTCATTAGATCTACTAATGGCAGTGTCTAAAAGTACATGGTAACCGACAACTCAGGGTCTTTCCGCCACCACTACAGCATCATCATTACTTCCACCACCATTCGTTTTTCCACATGTATAATTTCATCTTGTTGTGAGTTATAGTTTTTCTGTTATTATTTTTCTTAATGACATCGCACAAAACCGACAGCTGTGGCTTCTTCCCAAAACCTCTTCCCCCAGTAAGCCGAGAGTGCCATATCGCTACGCGTAATCTCATTGGTCGACTTAATTAACTTTGCCCCCCGGAAAGGTAAACTCAACTTAGTTGTTCTGTTCAAACTAATGATCCAGGCATAGTACCAATTTAGATAGATCTAGAATCTAGTAAATGGATATTCAAAGCTCACGTCTCGATTGTTGTTATTATAATTGAAAAAAAATTTAAAAAAGCTGGAAATATTTAGGAACAAGAGTCCGAATATAATTTTTGTCCATTCGGACTCGAGTCCGGATAGTCACTTCGCTTCGTTGTTCAAATCGATGATCAGTTTTCAAGCCAGGTTTTATTTCTTTCACTTGACTGTTGACAACATTTACCTTTTCATTGACTGAGAATAAGTTAGGCGGAGCGATTATTCTCACCCGGGGTGAGGATAAACTGGATATTATTCTCACCCGGGGTGAGAATAAAATTTCATACTATTCTCACCCTGGGTGAGAATAACGACAGCCTACTATTCTCACCCGGTTTTTTCGTTTTGGGCATCACAGGACCCCTGTCACTGAGCGCTTCAGGTGACAAAACTCGCCTCCCTCCCTCTCTCACTCCGCTGAGCGCGCGAGGCGACTAAAATCGCCGTTGCGGGCCAGCTCTCGAGTGCGAGAGGCGACTATTGTCGATTTGGGGAAAAACCCATATCTTTTGACCAAATAGTGTCACCTTTTGTTGCTACAGTACAGTATTAATTTATTGGTTGTGTAATGGAAAATTTTACTCTTGGATGGTTTCATCATCATCATCCAGTGCCAGATCTGCGACAGACATCGGCGATCATGATTTTCCATTCATTCCTTTGCTCGGATGCTCTAAAAAAAAGCTACATTTCCCTGATCTTTCCCTGTTACCCATTTATTTAGGTTCCCTAAGTATGTTGTTCTGAGCCTACCCCTGCCTCGCTTGCCCTCAATTTTGCCAGTGAGAGCTAGATGTTCATGGTTTAACCAATCAAAATTAAGATAAAAATAAGCCTTGGGTCTAGGCACTGCATTCCTTAAAAATAATCGTGGGTTCTGCTAAGGACAACAATTAAACATGTTTTTTTGTGTTGTAAGCAATTCCAACATTACAAAAATGACAAACTATTACTATTATTTCATTAAACAGCTTTCAGTTACGGCCATTATTTTTAAAAGGGAGTGTATACAGACCCGGTAACCGGGAACAAAGTCACAAAGTATAAAGACCCGGTACCGGCATTCTCAGACCTGGTGAGAAGAAGAATATTCATTTTATTCTCACCCAGGGCCCGGGGTGAGAATAACATTATCGAAGTGTATACAGACCCGGTAACCGGGAACAAAGTCACGAAGTATACAGACCCGGTAAGGGAGCTCTTTTGTGATTTCGGAAAGTTTCAGCGCCCAGACCCGGGCCGGTAGTGTGTGTGTGTATGTGTGTGTGTGTATTTGAGAGAGAGAGAGAGAG